AGTCACCTGCACTTCTGCTCAGAATTCCTAAGTTCAACACAAGATGCCTCAGAAGTTTATTAGCATGATAAGCAACGGTTTCCCCAACACTTTTTAGAAAGACTTCATTGTGGCCTCATTTGTTTTCTCCCTTTTCTTTCCTCTGCCCCCTTCCAATGTGGTCTCTTTAGCATGTCCAAATGCTCACAACACTGGAGGCTGAAGGATAGATTCATAGGTACTGTATATCCACAGGGTCTTTGACTTCCCTGCTGAGACCTCTGGAAAATATGATGGCATTTTTCTAAGAATAGTGACAGAGAAAGGGTACCATCTATTTCTTGGCAGGATCTGAGACAGTTAAGGTATTTCATTCATTACGATTATACAGAATTTATCATCCTGCCAATGGATGCCCGCCCAAGGAAGTGTCTTACGAAGATGCATTCTAGATGTGCGAGAGAGATTAGCAAGCACTAAGCAAGAACATACTCACACGTTCTTTGGTGTTTCTGCTGAAACTTCCAGCACATACGATTATGCTTTTCTGAGTGAGCACCTATCCATTGGTAACTGGACTGATGGTGGCAAACATTTTCTTGAATAAACAAAGCTGTCGGTCCCTGCTAATCCAAGTAGGTTTCAGGCCAGTAAACAGTTTTCTGTTCTCTCTTTGCTGAACCATCATTTCCCTGTTACTGCATTTGAATTCAAATCTAATTTTCAGGACAGAATTCAAGAAAGTTCTTACAGAGAGGAAACATTTTTTGTTTCCTATAGTGATCTCATGTAGTAAAAACAACTTGAAGGGACAGTTCCCTGTCTCAACTGCTAATTTCTATAATTTGTGAGTCTCTGGATGTTCTCCTGTGTGGCTTGTAGGGCAGCTTTCCGTGCCTGGAAAGAAGACTTTTAAAGGACTGAGTTTCCATTTTCAAATGAGGTTTTAAAAATCCTCCATGCACAATTGCTAATACAGCCTAGTAATCATGATAAAATCTTTGGATGCCATCCAGATTCTTGAAAGCCACCTAGGTTTTCATGAGAGCACACACACAAATATGCATACACCCTTTCTCCCTCCTTTAGAGTATGAGACTTATACATTTCATCCTCAATGAAAAAAATGCCTTATTATCAGGACTGGTGAGCCCTATGACATTTGGGGGTGGGAGGGGGCTTTCCAAGCATTTTGAATATTTTTTTGAACAGTCTTGGTTTTCATAACAACGTAGAAAATGCTTTAAGACATCGACCCCAGATATCCACCCTTCCCTTACTTCATTCTCTACATTCAAGGTATGGGGAATTACAGGGATGGAAAACGGGATTACTGATGTTCAGTCACCTGCCCCCTCCCTTCCAGCACCCTATAACACTAGGAACAAAGAAATGAGCTTCCTTCTTCCAAAGGGTACACTTTGGAGAAGGGTTACTTCAGAAATGTGGGCCTGATCTTCATATTCATTGTGGGAACCTCATGACTACCATAAGAAATCAGACAAAAAAAAAAAATTAGAAGGGTGCTGCAAAGACAAAGAGAAATGGAGATCATGGTGTCTGGCGGCCAGAGAGAGGCCTGACGCAGATTGCCCTGGGGACAAAGGAAAGAGACAATTATCTTTCTCTCTCCATCTAGTGATGTGTCCTCTACTCTTCCTTCGTGTAGGTAAGAGGAGAGGAGGAGTAGAAAGAGAAAATATTCTACCATCTAAAAGAATGCTAAGCTACTAGGTTGCAGCAAGCTGTGATTGGTTTCTCTCCTAGCAAAACCAACAGGGGAATGAAGGTATCTGAATGAGAGACCTCTTTCTAAAAAAACCTGACTTTGTTGTACCATGAGATTGCCATTGTTACATGGAATTAAGATAAACAGTTTGAAAACAAATTCTGGAGATCCTAAACACTTGAGATTTGTCTCCAGCTGCTCTTGAGCTATTTCATCTTTGTCCCGGGTTTATTTCTTTGGTTTATATCCTTTTGATCTCTATCTTGGAACAAGGAAAAAAAATAGTTGTACATAATGCCTTATAGTCTATGGCATATTCCATTTCAGGATCCTAACAAAAGGTAAATAATAAGATATATGGGAGTAGTTTCAGCTCTGGGTTGCAACGGAAAAACTTTTCAGTTTCCTGTGGCAAAACTGAACAGAGTAGTTCAGAAAAGAAAGAATAACAAAACAAACATAGAGTGCTTGAGGGATCTGCGTAGGCAGTCAGCAAGAGCCTTCAGTTACCCCAGTCTGCCATGTAACTCACCTACAGAAAGAGGTTTAGGGGCTTTATAGCAACCAATAGACTCTCTACCAATGTGGTGTCCCAGACTGCAAGGTATGGCAGATGAGCTCTGGGGAACCTTGCTGTGCTGTTTCAACCCACAGCCATTTCACAGAGTTTCTCTAGATCTTCTGCAATCACCGCTGCTCCAGCAGGGAATGGCAAGGGCTGCATCCTGGCTCTTCAGCTGCTCCAGTTCTTAGCCCAGCACATAATTTTGAATGTGTCTTTGTCAGCAGTTTCCACTAAGAAACTTATCTGAAGCTTGAGCACACCTTCCTTTTGGTCAGCTCCACTACAGCCATTATGACACCTGCAAGCACCAGAGCAAGCTTGCCCAGAGGTTTGAGGCATTGCTTTGTGTCAAGGCTGAAACAGATCACATAGCTGATCCTGCCTGCGAAGGTCCTGCTTGACCTAATCTCCTTCTATGACAAGATGACCCACTTCGTGGACGAGGGAAAGGCTGTGGACGTTGTTTCCCTGGACTTTAGTAAAGCCTTTGACACCATTTCCCACAGCATTCTCCTGGAGAAACCAGCTGCTCATGGCTTGGACGGGCAAACTCTTCGCTGGGTAAAAAACTGACCAGATGGCTGGACTCATAGAGTTGTGGTGAATGGAGTTAAATCCAGTTGGTGACTGGTCAAAAGCGGTGTTCCCCAGGGCTCAGTATTGGGCCCAGTTTTGTTTAATATCTTTATCAATGATCTGGACGAGGGGATCGAGTGCACCCTCAGTAAGTTTGCAGATGACACCAAGTTGGGTGGAAGTGTTGATCTGCTTGGGGACAGAAAAGCTCCACAGAGGGATCTGGACAGGCTGGATCGATGGGCTGAGGCCAACTGCATGAGGTTCAACAAGGCTCAGTGCCGGGTCCTGCACTTGGGGCAAAACAACCCCAGGCACCGCTACAGGCGTGGGGAGGAGTGGCTGGGAGCTGCCCGGCGGAAAAGGACCTGGGGGTGTTGGTTGACAGCCGCCTGAACATGAGCCAGCAGTGTGCCCAGGTGGCCAAGGCCAATGGCATCCTGGCCTGTATCAGGAATAGTGTGGCCAGCAGGACTAGGGAGGTGATCAGCCCCTGTACTGGGCACTGGTGAGGTCGCACCTTGAATCCTGTGTTCGGTTTTGGGCCCCTCACTACAAGAAGGATATGGAGGGGCTGGAGCGTGGCCAGAGAAGAGCAACAAAGCTGGTGAAGGGTCTGGAGCACAAGTCTTATGAGGAGCGGCTGAGGGAGCTGGGGGTGCTCAGCCTGGAGAAGAGGAAGCTGAGGGGAGCCCTCATCGCTCTCTGCAACTGCCTGAAAGGAGGCTGGAGCCAGGGGGGGTCGGTCTCCTCTCCCAAGGAACAAGCGATGGGATGAGAGGGAACGGCCTCAAGCTGCGCCAGGGGAGGTTTAGGTTGGATATTAGGAAAAACTTCACCGAAAGGGTTGTCAAGCATTGCAACAGGCTGTCCAGGGAACTGGATGAGTCCCCATCCCTGGAGGTATTCAAAAGCCGGGTAGATGTGGTGCTTAGGGACATGGTTTAGTGGTGGACTTGGCAGTGCTAGGTTTATGGTTGGACTCAATGATCTTAAGGGTCTTTTCCAACGTAGAAGAGTCTATGATGATTCTATGATGGAGTATTTCTGTTTTGTAAAACATGCAACTACAGTTCACCACTGGCTTCAAGTTAATAGCAAAAATTCCACGGATTTTAGTGGAAGTGTGCTCTGATCCATGGTAATTTTTTATGCTGCTGCTAAGTATTGATGTTGGAAAGTTGTTGGGAGCTTTCCATCCAAAAGTAAGTTAATCCTGTAATTAATGTTAAGAACTACATTTTGCCAGTTGATAATCATAAGAACTCTTTTCCTCTGAGTTTTAAGGAGTCTGCTAGTGCTCTAACTAAAGCATAGGGTGCAAGGTCCTGTACATGGGTCGGGGCAATCCCAAGCACAAATACCAGCTGGGCGGAGAATGGATTGAGAGCAGCCCTGAGGAGAAGTGCCACAGAGGTACACTAAAACCAACCCAAACAGAAGACAAGCTCAAACAACTTTATTTCACAAACAGCCAAGACCACATGGCAGAAACCAATGAGAAACAGGGGTAAACTGAAATCAGTCAGCACTCTGATAAGATTTAACACGTAACAGGCTTGAGGTGTTAGTCAGGGTATTGTTACTACATGTCAGTACACACAGGAACGATGATCCAAACTGCACACACACTCACAAGGGGGGGAAACTCTCTCTGTCTCTCTCGTGGGTACCAGAAGATATAACCTACCCAGAAGATAGAATCGCTCATCCAGGGCGGGGGTGTGTGTGTGTGTGTGTGTATGTGATGGCTCACTCAAGGATGTATCCAGAAGAAATCACTCACCAGAAGGAGGTGAGGGCACTCAATCCCGGGAAGTTTCCCCAGGCGGCATCCCAACCCGAGGACAGAGGTTTCAAACACAGACCCACTGCTCTGAGAAGACCACTCAAAAGGGTCCCTGGTGGCGCGCCATTTATACCCTGGGTTGGATCTGAGCTTTGGTCATAATTGGTAATGATCAAGAAGCTTCCCTGAAGTGCACCTCCAAATTAAAAATTCCCTTTTGGAAAGCTGGTACATGATTAAAGCCTGGCTGTTGCAGTGTCCGTGACTGCCTGGAAGTGAACTGAGGGCTCGTCTCATGGATAAAACAAATTCTTTTTGTGTTTGAACAAATACAGATAATGCTGACAAATATTTTCCTTACCATGGGTCTAGACTGCAACAAGCAGGAAACTCTGCAGAAGGAGAAACAGGTGATGTTGCTGAAGGATGGTGAGAAAAGGAGAGGAGGGTGATCAACTACCAAGCCATTCGGTGCAAGATTAATCTTAAATGAAGGTATGTGTGATAGAGATGTCTGCTTCAGATCTAGCTTGCTCTACCACTGATATGAGGAACCCAGTACTTCTATGGTAGTTTGTTCGATGTCTTTTAGGCATCCACTTAAGATGAGCTGGCCCTTGCCCTCTGTAGTACTCACTTCTCTGTCCTAGCTATACAAGGAGCCCAGGATGGTCATAGCAGAGGTACATGCCTATCCTGCAGATGTAGCTGTCTAAAAAGTGAGGTGAGATTAATCTACTGTGTAACCATAGACAAGGCACTTACTACCTACCTTAGGTAGGTACTACCTACCTACTTACTTACTACCTACCTTAGGTAGGTACTACCTACCGACCACACTCCAAAACTGTGACACGTGATGGGGTCATGGCCTCAGCTAACAGTTATACTGGCCCACCTTCCCCTGTATGTGCAATTTTAACCTGCAAAAAACTCTTTTACTGTTTACTGATAGTTTATGCTGTTGAAGAAGGCTTACATGCATTGGTAAGAGTCCTTTGTGCTGGTATAAATTGTGCATAGTATTGTGCATTCTATAGAAAAATTGGGTCCACGTTAACAGAACATTATACAAACTGCAATATATGCTCGTAGAACTAGCCTGCTGAGAGAGATCGTATTTTCTGAGACAGAAGTTATCTCAGTGAGATCACAGTGGTCTCGACAGTAGGGACTGCAACCAACATGGGCTTTAACGAAGACTTTTCATGCAGTTTGCACTGCTGGGAGGGCTTCCCAGAATAGCTACACGGTTACACACATGTTCACATGTATGGGTCATACTTCCTTGGCATTAATCAAACCTCCTTCGCACCAAGGAGGGATGACAGTTTAACAGTGGAAGCGCAAGGGCCACAAAGGGAAGAGATGAAGAAAACTGGTCATTCGCTGGCTTTTTAAATCAAATAATTTAAAGTTTGATATCCCTAGATTTTCTGCCGCTTAGCCAATGTATGCTTAAAATATACATTTATACATGCGCAAGTTTGTATGTGTGGATATGCATACGCACATACAGTTTGATTACTTCATTTTCTTCTTCAACTGAGGGAACGAGTAGCTGAAATGAGATAGTTATTGCAGCGCAGAAGAGCCATTCAGTACAAAGTGATTATACAAACTAAGTGGAGTTTTCCTTTTTGACAGCATGGTAATTAAGAAATAACCATATGGTGATCTGGGAAATCCTGTTCCTTGGCTATGGACCGCTGTCAAGTACTCTGGAGTTTTGCATGCTCTGTGACAATTATGAAACAACTATGAATTATTATATAAAACAAAGGGGCACATTCAGTCAAAAGTAACTGCATAATGTCCTATTTTACCTACTAATAAGTTGAGACAACATAACATCATAAAGTTATGCAGTACAGCGTCTGTTCTCTTAAATCATGTATTGCTTCTATGCTAGTGCCTCTAAGTGGCAGAATTTCAGACCTGCTTATGTGTGTGCGTGAGTGGGTAAGAGAGACTTGTTTCAAGGTTAGTGCTTTTGGTTTTCTACTCTCTTTCAGTGTGGTTCAGTTACTTTATTGGCATAGTAAGTTCCAAGATTACTGCCAAATGTATGAAGTAGACAGGATAGGGCTTCGTGCCGTTCTGTTTCGATCTCTGATGAATACACCATTTTATCCTCCTGAAGTAATTGCAGCATACTGTATTGCTCCAGTGTTGTAGAATTTTACCTGAAAAATTACTTTCTAGATCTTTAAAGAACAGAAAAACAGCTGAGTTTTCTGTGTCTAGTTAGCTGCCAAGAAGAGACTCCCAATTCCCTTAACATCTCCCACAGATGTACTCTAAAAAAACAAAATGTATTCTTAAATTTAGAGATATTTTAGAATGTAGCTGGATAGAAGACACCATACAAAACATCAAGTACTTCTTTCTCTATATTAACAAGTATTAACTTATCAAGAATACTCAAGATACTTATATAAGTTCTTCTAAAATTTATCTCAGAAATATTTTGCTTCCATGTGTCATCCGATCAATGTATTTGCTTAATCCTTTGTGTAACTGAGAACGTACCTTTCCCAGTGAATATGGAAGGTTTTACTTTCATCCACGCTGAAGTAGATGTGTGCCATTTTACAAAAAGAATTTAATCTCTCCTGAATGACTCCAAGATCATCCTCTTCTTTAGCCGGCTCTGAACCTACTTACCAACTCCTAAATTGCTCGTACTCACAGATTAGGTAAGAGGAAAAGAAGGGATGTCAGAAACAAATGGATATGAAAAAGAACAAAACACAAGGGTGGAAAGAGACTGAAAAAAAACACCCCGATAATTATTTTTTTCTGGAATGAGGCTGCAAGAGCGATAGATGGTATTTAGGCATGATAAAGGAAGTTCTAACTGTTGGTTCAGTCACCGATTTAACAGGGGCACACTCTGGTGAGGTGGACTGCGGCCTCGGCGACACAACGCTGACACCCGCCGCTGCCCTGTGATGCTGGGCGCTGGCAAACACACGCCCGTATTTCTCACCTTTATAAATTTGACCCTCTGCGAAGCAGCGGCCGCATCGCTAACAACTTTCGCCACTGCCAGCTCGCACACTCGCGGGCGTGAGTGCCACCAGAAGTTTGCTCTGCTCGCTTCCACAGAAGGTTGGTCTCCTATGTTGCGAGAAACGGGATCATTTTTTCCTGCAGGGTCCCCGACTACTCTAAAAACGCCCAGATAGAGCCTGTGTAAGTGGGATCTTTGCTAAGGAAGCCATATCGAGGGAAAAGAACAGATTATTTACCCTCCAACCCCCTGCAGACTGTTAATCGCACGCGGCCGCGCAAAAGGCCGCAGCACAGGAGCGACCGCGGGGCCTCGCGCGG